CTGGTACCGGGCAGTTGCCCCTGCGGAGCTGCTGCCGAGCCCTGCCAGCTGGAAAAGAAGCCGCATCCCAGGAGCCACACGCTACGGAAGATGTAAACGCACACACAGACACGCTCTAACTTTCCTGCCGGGTTCAAATCCTCCCTCTCCTTTGATCCACAACCCTCTCTCGGGGAGAACACCTCAAGGGCACCGCACTTTTTACACGACCTCCCTAAAGGACACACAACTTCTGTGATATAACCCCGGTGGCCATTGGTCATTTTTACATTTTTCCCTAAACCTCATCCCTCCGTTGGTGTTCACCCTTAATAAACTGGTTAATTCGTAAACTAAACATTGGTCTCAGTAACAATCTCTGAGCGTGATGGGGATGTGTTCTACCCACCACTCTAAAATACGGTCCTGCAGCGGCCGCACCTCTGTGAGAGGTGAGCACCACGTGTGAGCCCTCGGTGGTATTCAACAACCCCTCCAAATTAGGGGGAGAAGTCATGAAAACATCCTGACAGCCGGTAGCCCCCCTGGCATCAGCTTGTGACACTTCACTAAATCACTAATACTAATGGAAACTACTCATAATTGTTTAGTTATCATCAACGGCAGCACTGTCTGATATGAAAAAACATTGGTACTTCATTCTCTCTCTAAATATTCTTCCTGGTTACAACTGGATGTCAAAGCTGTCAAATTTCAGAAAATGTCATAACATGGAACCACACTACAGTGTCTCCTCCTCCTCTGCTCTGCCCTGGTGAGGCCACATCTGGACTATTGTGTCCAGTTCTGGGCCCCTCAGTTCAAGAAGGGTGAGAGTTCAGCACAGAGCCACAAAGATGATTAAGGGAGTGGAACATCTCCCTTATGAGGAAAGGCTGAGGGATCTGGAGCTCTTTAGCTTGGAGGACACTGAGTGGTGACCTCATTAATGTTTATAAATATGTAGAGGGCTAATATCAGGAGGGTGGAGCCAGGCCCTTTTCAGTGATGTGCAATGACAGGTAAGGGGGCAACGGGCGTAAGCTGGAGCATAGGAGGTTGCACATAAATATAAGGAAAAAATTTCCACTGTGAGGGTGACAGAACACTGGAACAGGCTACCCAGAATTGTTGTGGAGTCTCCTTTGGAGACACTCAAGGCCTGCCAGAACACGTTCCTGTGTGACCTACTCTAGGGGATCCTGCTCTGGCAGAGGGGTTGGGCTAAATCATCTTTCAAGGTCCCTTCCAACCCCTAACATTCTGTGATTCTGTGTCAGTGTGAAATGGTGATAACCTATGACAGAGGATTTAAGACAGCTTTTTTTCCACCATAACTTGTTTTTTAGTAATGAAATGCAGAGAGATTTTAGTAATATAGCATTGCTATGATTTATTGCTATGAAGCTTTTAGATTGTAAAAAAGTTTGGCCTAATACTATCCAACAGAACCAGAATAATAGAAAATATAACTGAAACATAAAATCAGTTTCCACTATTTCATCATTCCCTGGTTTTGACCCTGCAAAGTATTCACATTATTTACTCAATGGTTTCTC